TTCCAGTTGCTCCAAAATAAGACCACACTAATTGGTTGATACCCTGGAGGGAAGGAATGCCATCCAGAGGGACCTTGACACACTTGTGAGGTGGGCTGATGCCAACCTCATGAAGTTTAACCATGACAAGTGCAAGGTCCTACACCTGGGTCAGAGCAATCCCAGGCACAGCTACAGGTTGGGCAGAGAAGAGATTCAGAGCAGTCCTGCAGAGAGGGACTTGGGGGTGTTGGTCGATGAGAAAATGAACACGAACCAGCTTCAGTGTGCGCTCGCAGTCCAGAAAGCAACCGTATCCTGGGCTGCATCAAAAGGAATGCGACCAGCAGGTCGATGGAGGGGATCCTGCTCCTCTGCTCTTGTGAGACCTCACCTGGAGCACTGTGTGCAGTTCTGGTGTTCTCAACATAAAAAGGACATGAAACTGTTGGAACAAGTCCAGAGAAGGTCCAGGAGGATGATCAGGGGACTGGAGCACCTCCCATATGAAGACAGGCTGAGGAAGTTGGGGCTGTTCAGCCTGGAGAAGAGAAGGCTGCATGGAGACCTCATAGCAGCCTTCCAGTATCTGAAGGGGGCCTATAGGGATGCTGGAGAGGGACTCTTCATTAGGGACTGTAGTGATAGGACAAGGGATAACAGGTTAAAATTTAAACAGGGGAAGTTTAGATTGGGTATAAGGAGGAAGTTCTTTACATAAGGATGGTGAGGTATTGGAATGGGTTGCCCAGGGAGGTTGTGAATGCTCCATCCCCGAGAGTGTTCAAGGCCAGGTTGGACAGATCCTTGGGTGACATGGTTTAGTGTGAGGTGTCCCTGCCCATGGCAGGGGGGGTGGAACTAGATTATTTTAAGGTTCTTTCCAACCCTAACTATTCTATGATTCTAATGGAGAAGGCAGATTTAAGTCTAGTCTTTCAGCTTGCAGAAACACCCAGACTCTCTCTGGCCTGGGCAGGTAAAGCTTTTGTGCACAGTTGGGGGCTGAAAAAAAAGGAGGGCATTGAGCTCCATACAGTTTGTCTGCTCATCTCTCTGAACCTGACTTCTCTGAACAGTCTGACAGGATACAGCCCACAGGGAGGGATACAAGTACAACACATTTCTTTCTGGTTAGATTGAGCTGTGCAAATGCAGATAATTTTCTATTTTAAAATACATTTTGAATTACAATTGTAATTAGGCAAGGAGCTTTCTTCCCCATAATCACTTGAAATGGCCCAAGCAATTTAGTGTCCAAGTTTCATATTCATAGAGCAAATATTAGACTGCCCAGTTACATTATTGAACAATAGATAACAATCCTAGGTCATGCTGTATGTTCTTTTTAAGTAGATGCGTAATATGGAAGATTAAAAAATACATTCTTCTGAAATTATAGGGGTATGAAATTTTTCTGGCTTAGAATTGTAATTCTAACTGGAGAAGGACCCAAATTATTTGCTAACATTTTCAAACCATTGGTTGCAGGACACTGCAACCCTCAGCTGAAACTACTACATATCTTTAAAATAGTCACTTAAAAATAGGAACCTATTTTATCAGACCACTGTGAACCCATTAGGCCAAAACTAGAGCCATAGCACAATACTATGCATGGGAGTATCATCTGCTAATTGAAAAAGTTAAGCTAATATTTGCTCACCACAAAGCAGGAAAAAACATTCTGCCACTCCCATTTCAGAACCATTTCATAAGCAGTCCTTACAAACATCTACTCTGTGATAAATTGTGTCTTCAAGGACCCCAAAAAAACCACATTTTCCATCAAGATACATTTCCTTGAGCCCTTTGTATCAGTTCTGTGTTTCTACCCAACTGGATCCTATCATACTGCAAACTTCAGGCATGCAGCTGCTTTTCTGTCTTCGGTATTTTAAAGAAAATTAAAATGAGACTTAACACTTTTAATTAGATGTTTAATTCATGCTTTTGTGAGCCATTTCCTTCCAATCTGAATTTTGTCACACAACTATAACAGTCTCTCCACTGCCAAATTTTATTATTTTAAATGCTAACTCAGTGTCTTGCAAAGAATGTGTATTGCACAATTTGTTAAAGATTTTGAAAGTGAAAGTCTCGTTTGTTAGTAAAGCAGGAACGCCTAGTAACTGTCACAAGCTGTGGCTGCAAAACTATACCATGTTCAGCACAAAACCCCCTCCAAAACCAAAGGAGCCATTTAAATACATTTTATAAGGGATAGAGTAAATACAAAGTTTAAGGGACTAGTTGAAAGAGCAAATGGAGCAGAACATGGTTCTTACGCTTTGAGTGGAAGCATTTTACCACTTGTGTTTTCAATTTTTAAGAAACAAATGCAGGAATAGTCCTCTAAAACTAAATGAAATGGGAGTCAACTATTTGACAAAGTAGCAAAGAGTAGCCCAGTTTTCAGAAGGATCTTCCTATTCCCACTCTCCAGTGCATTCGCAGAATTGCTTTCCAAATCCTTCAACAGCAGCTGAACATTATTCAGCCAAATGACATCCCCATTAAGAAAGCAACACATACCAGGCTAAATCCCACGCCTTTTCCCCTGCTGCCAGTTATTATTTCTAATCACAGGATGAGGGTAAGCAGGATTTGGCCTGTCCTCAGGCCCACATTATATAAGCTGTGTCTCAGCAAGTGGTGCTCAAGAAGCATTCTCCTCTGCCTTTTTTCCTTCCAACCTCTTATCCAATATATCATCAGTATAACCTACAGGCTGGCACTCTTTGTTTGCTCATTGTCCCATTGCATATTATGGGAGCTATCTTTGTTGTTGCATGTTGCCTTAAGAATAGGCTGCACAGGTTATGGGAGGCAACATCAACTCGCATGTTTTGTGTGAATCTGCAAAGGCATCTGTTCATACTTCCAAAGGTACAGGTACTCCAGCACTATCAGTATAATAGATAGTCATTATTAATAACTACAAGAGATGCTCTGTAGACCAGCATTCCTAGTTTTGCTGCATCTGGTGTTGATGGCCTTAAATGAGCATCCCTGTTGAATCTAGCTGTTCATCCTCTTGCATGCACTTAGCTAACCTGATGATCCTGCTTGCAATTTTCTGAGCATATTGTACCAGTACAGCCTCAGTGCATGTACTTGGGTTAGTCTCTTCAAACTGCAACCTTAAATTGGGATCAACAGCCATGACCCAAGCTCTGAGCTGAAGGCAGCTTCTACTCAATGACAAAGAGTTCTGAGGACTTCCTCGAGAAACTGCTGGTTCTGCCTTGCCATTAGCATCCTGCTTTAGAAAAAGTGTTTCCATGTATATTGTGGTATAAGCAGAAGGAATAACCTTTGGATAGGATGGCTGAGAGTTTTTGTATAGCTTTTAAAAGTGGCCTTCACATCCAGAATCCAGGCAGGCTAAGAAAAGTACAGTTCTGCCCACAGGATATGCTGTGTCACAATGCAGTTTGGCTAAAGCCCTGCCAAAGCAGCTGTAATCCAGAAGTTGTGCTCACAGTCTGGCTCTGCCAGAAATGTTTTGACCTTGTTGATGGGCATGCTTCCTCACTATTCCTCCCTTTGTGCAGACTCTGTCACCTGTACTGCAGCCAGCAGCTTTTGAGCCTGCACTTTTGGATATAAAATTATGAACTGCTATTCTCGCACTGTGGAACTAACACAACAGGCAACAACTGCAGCGAAAAAAAACAACAAAAACAAAAAAAAGAAACCAACAACCAAAACCAACCCACTCTGTCTTTTCCTAAAGCTTACAGCAGGACAGGGACCTCCCCTGCTGAGTATTACATGACTTTGGCTGGGGGTAAATGCTGCCAAAATAACTACCAGTTCTATTTATCAATGTGGACATTCACAACCCAAAGGAAGTTTTATCAGATTATCAGAATCACTAACTGAAGGAAAAAGAAACATGACCAGGCAGCCTGGATAGCCTGAGAACATGCAGGTTCATATCTTCAAAGCATAGAATCATAGAATAGTCAGGGTTGGAAAGGATGTTAACATCATCTAGTTCCAGCCCCCCTGCCATGGGCAGGGACACCTCACGCTAAACCACATAACCCAAGACTCCATCCAACCTGGCACTGAGCACTGCCAGGGACAGAGCATTCACAAGTCCAGTGCCTCACCACCCTCACAGTAAAGGACTTCTTTATATATAACCTAAACTTCCCTTGTTTAAGTTTGAACCCGTTACCCCTTGTCCTATCAGTCCCTAATGAAGGGTCCCTCTCCAGAATCCAGAGTTCTTATCCAATCCCTTCCTATCCTTAAGGTAAGGCAAGCTTGTCATTACCCGAGTGGTCATATTTGCACTGTTTCAGGTACCACATTAAGTCATAACTTGAAAACATCCCCCCCCCCCCAAAAAAAAAAATCATTGTAAGAATCAAATCCATAAATAACGAGAATCTGGATTTCACACCAGGTAACTGTGCAAAGACCTACTGTATCAATAAGGTATTTACTTACATATTTACCTCAGTCAAGTTCTTAGCAAAGAAAGGTCAGAACCTCAGCAGTCAGAAAAGGAGACACTGCATACCTCCTAAGCCCCCAGCAGCAACACACATGTGCACAGGTTTACTTTGCAGCCTGAGGCTGCAGGTGTGCAAGGGTGCATTGTACATACTCATAAACACCTTTAAACGTGGCTTTTTCATCTGAATGGCTGAATTCAGAAACCACTCCAGATCCATCTAAAAGTCTGCTCTCAACAAGGAGCCTAGTTAAATCACTTAAGGGGAAATTGAAATCAAAGATGGCTTTCTGCATCCAGCTGAAACAGATTGTTTAGTGATAACAAAAAAATAACCTTTCAAGTGGGTTCAGGGTTCTGTAGAGCGGTAGAAAAGGCTGGGAGCAGTCTGCTTGAAAGAGAGTAAATAATTTTGTGGGGGGAAAAGTATTTTTCTCTTTTAACACAGCAACTAATGAAATAGCAAGAGTGGTTTACAAGTAAAGCATGCAAACATTAGACTGCTGTGAAATATGCAGTTTGGTAAGAGATAAAATAATAATTGTCTTACCATCAAGACCAAGTCCCTGGACTGCCTGTAGGATCATAATCGGAGTGGTGTTGAATCATCTCTTTTGCATACCTCCATGGTGCACAGCATTCCCAGCATACCAAGAGCTGCATCCACAAGTGGGCTGGGAATCCAGCAGCAGATCCCACAAAACAAGCAAAAGCAGCCTCCATACCAGCCCAACACTACCTTGAAGGCACAGCTTATGTGATCAACAACTTCTACTACCAACTCCTGGCTGTCTCCTCTTTATCTCCCAGGAGGCACTTCCCTCCCTCCCATTAACACCTCCAAAAGGTTTAAGCTAGTTAGTGGCCAGCTGGACATTAATGTGTTGGTATAGGGGGTCGTTAGTACCAGAAGCCCTCCCCAGCTGGATGCATTTGAGGAGCTGTTCCATCAGTTCTAGACTGCCTGATAACCTCGTTGTCACCTCCCCAGGTGGCTGCAGTGAAAGCGCTGCATTTTTCTTTAGAAGGGCAGGAACCTGCAATACAACTAAATACTATCAAGTAAGTTCTGATCCAGTGTGTGGAGACCCCAGGCTAATTTGCTTCCCTTCATAAACCTGAACTTGATTTGCTTAATTTCTTTCTAGATGAACCTGAACGCTGGCTTTCAATTCTCATGGCCTCTTATTTGTTGTTTCTCAGACAGTTCATCCCTCCAGAGACAAATCACAATTACCAGAGACTGAAGGGAAAGAGCCCAAATTCAAATGAATACATATATACATATGTGTGTGTGCACGTGTATATTAAGCTGCTGCCTGTCAAAGGCAGTTTAATGAAGTTGGAGGGAAGCTTTTAAATGAAGTCATGGAGAATATCAAGTGATGTGAAACAGCCTAGTTAAACACAGAAAAAACTGTCCTCCCTTTCGCTTGGCTCCTGATTTATGTCAAGCTGAAATAAATGATAATAACACAAGGTTATTAGAGTTCTCTATGATGTAAATATGAAGTGTATATATTTAGAAATCTTAAGACTTTAAAACACAGATGGAAGCACATCATCCCTAGATTCCAAAACAATTCATTTAAAACACATGCAAAGCACACCAGACTGAGAGAGCATGAGGAATAAAGACCGAAGTCTCAGAACTCTTCCTTCAAAAAGTGATATTAGTACAAAATGGTTTGAAGGCAGATACTGGCCAGTGTATAAAAATGACCAGATCATGTCTAATTTTCATCAGATCTTAAAAAAAACCTCCTGCACATTAGTTTTAGGGTTGTAAAAAGGCATAATGCCAGCAGGGCACAGAAACATGCAGCAAAGGAGTGAGAGCCACCTCAGGAGCCCAGTGCCCCCCCTGCTGTAATGCAGGGCTGTGTGGCAGGGGACAGCTCCATTGCATTGCAATCACCTGGCGAGGAAGCAGTGCTGGTGCCACACGGCTGTGTACATCCGCCCTACGCGTGTTTCTGTGCTTGCCCACATCCTGTGTGTGCACATGGGCTGTTGGGGCTGCCCTGCGGGCAGGATGTCAGTGTGGCCACGGCAGTTTCCTCTGGCCGAATCATTTTCCTCACTTTCTGGTGTGGGAAATCTCTGTAAAAAACTTCTCTGAATACACCTGAAGAACATAAATTTTGAGGGAAGTGGCAGTGCTGATAGGAATTATGCCTGTTCTCAACCTCTTCTGCAGTGAAGCATCCTGAGAGTGAATATATTTGACTATAAATAATAATAAACTTTCCAGAAAGGAAATTAATATTTTCATGCATCTCGATTCAACAGACTCCAGTTTAATTCTAAACCCTTCATTTGAGAAATCAGTTGTGAGGTTGATTATATGTCAAAATATCCAAGCCAATGAAGTTATGGTGGTGCTATTTCAAGAACAAGTAGAAAGTGCAATTTAAAGAGATAAGACCAGCAAAGAACAGAGCATTTGACTGTTTTCTTCTAAAGGTGACTAAAGATGTAATTATTGTTAGTAAAAGCAAACCCTTTGTGTCAGAAAGAGTGCTTACTTCAGTGACTGCAGATTAAAACACTCTAGTTAGTCCTTTTTATATTCAGGAAAAAAAAAATCAGCCCATAAATTCTTTTATACTTTCAGTGCAGATATTTTTGGAGCTGCAGTAAATTTCTCATTACATATAATACACTGCTGTCTGATTATTTTTTTTATATTTTACTTGAAATTATGTTTAAATGGACAGTCCAATTATGTCTGATTTAACGTTCTAATGTAATCCTGTGTGATTACAAGAAAGGTCTTGGGTTATTTAACAAGTGACATTTTGGACTTATTACAAAAGCGATATTGGAAGTATAGGACCTGTGGGGAGCCAATTAAACTTTCCTGGACATCATCTGCTTGTCAATGTCCTCCTGTCACTAACCTGCCACCTTGTCTATGGAAGTAACCAACTTGCAGTGCAGTGGCTGGGAAAGGGGGGTTTAGTTCAGGGCTGTACCCTTTAGGAAAGCAGAAGAGGAAGACAAAAGAAAAAGGATTTCCATTGTTTCCATTACTGTTCTTGTCAAAATGATGATCCTGTGGAAATAGCCTGGCTTCCTTATCTGTGGTATCCCAAGGAGTCAACACCAGGGAGAGACTTACCAAGTAAATGCGTATGTGAATAAATCTTAAAGGTCAGAGAAGCAAACCCAGTATGTACACTGTCACCTGGACCAAGTTCCCTCCCTTTTGTACACAAGTGATGTGAAAGGCGAAATTAATGCTCCCTTCCATTCTCACCGTTTCAGTGCATACCTGTGAGAATCCAGTGTACTGCCAGGCAGAATTCAGCTTGCAAAGTAAGTGTGGCTGGTACAGATGTGTGAGGAAGACTGACCCTAGCTGGGCTGCCAGAGCTCAGGTAGAGAGCTACTAGAGCTGGCAATTAGAAAAGTTAACTTTCAATTGCAGATGAAGCATATTTGTTCAGTACTGGACATGGAAGTGCATGATGACTCTGTTATAGCATCACTTCCAGGAGCAAAACTTGTGCTTGAAAATGGATTTATTGGAATTTTTATGGCTATACTTCTGGTCATGAGATATTGATTTTACAGCTAGAAATAAATGAGTTAAAAGAAAGGGGGAAAAAAATCCTAAGCTTTACTTCAGAGACCAAAGCCACCTCTGCTATAGAAGCCTTTTGCTCATATAGGCATGGTGGTATTGCTCAGTTCTGGTACAGCAGTCTTTATGAAGCCAGGCCATACAAGGAAACTTGTGTATCACTCTGGTAAAGCCACTTTCAGAAGTAAAACAGGCTTCCTAGGAGAAATGCAATTTTAGCAGAATAATTCTGTTTATATAGCAGCTTTCACTGGTGCAATTATGATGACTAGATATTACACTCCTCTTTCTCTGCACCTCAGAGGATTCATTCATGTGCCAAGGAAACCTACAGACCAGGCCAGAAGCAAAAGTTGAGTTAATTAGAATACAGATAAGCTCTTTATGACTTACCTCTGTTTTGCCACTCTTATTACACAAGCAAAATGAAAGTCATCTCATTATGCTAGAAGCCATACCAGCACTCAGCTTCCTGCTACTGGTTTCTAGCTGGAAACCAGCTACAGTAATGGATGTAGTGAAGAACAGGCAGGTACAGACAGGGAGAGATCAAGGGAGCAGCCAATCATCACAGGAAATATGATAATCTTTTGATCTGTTGTTGTATCCAAATCATTTAAACATCGCAACTGGCAACAACAGTATCACATGAAAACCCTCATTCTGCCTCAGCGTGCTTTGCAACCATTTATATTTTCCCTTTCAGCCCTCAGAAATCTTATGCTCATGTTATTTCTTTATTGCTTGTTTGTTTTTCTCCTTTTCACTGCAGACTAGCTCTGCTGGTCCCACTGTCTGATGGTATTAGCACCCATCAAGTTCAAAGCAGATACACTTTTTTAGGGCATTCACACATGAGCTATTTTTCACTCTGGATTCCCTCTACCTTGTTTTGCCCCATAACTTTTCCCAGTGCAGTGATCAGCCCGTCCTCCAATCAGGTTTACAACCTCTCCAACAGTAGTGCTCCATAGGTCAGCCCAGGTTGCTGCAGGATCATGATGATTTTATGCCTCCAGCCTGCCACTTCACACTGCCCCTAACTACCAAGGACTAAGTGGAAGTCCCATGGTTGTTTGTAAACTGGCATGTCTAGTACAGCCAGCAGGCTAGCTTGCGTAGTAAATTTAATGTATTTCATACCTAAGTAGAAGTGTCAACTGTTAAATCCATTCCTTGCTAAAAATAAAAGCTACATAATAAGCCTGATACTGTAGATCACTTTAAACCAGATACTGTAATCCCCACTTGAGACAGATACATGACCTATTAAATTAAACATAGATTCCCTCAAATTGCATGCAGAACCGCTCTCAGATCAGACTGACTCCATTACTTTACCCTGTAAATAGAATTATTGAACTTCTGTATATATTCAGACATGATGTATATAGTCACTTACCAGCTTTTGTATATGCATGTTGTATTAGCAGAGGTGTGCCTTGAAACAAAACCAGTGTTGGTATTTTCAAACTGAAATACCTGATAACAACTCCCTAAATACATAGTAATTTTGTTAACAAAATAGGTCGTTATTTTCTGAATAGGTGACGTCTATGGGAGGTGAGGGGGAAAAAAAGCCATGTATACTAAGGTGCTGGTAAATTATTTTGGACACCCACATTTGAAACAGATCTTAACGACTATGGAAAGCCCCACAGCTTGGGAATGCCTTTGTTTGAATAATTCCATTGAAATCTTACAGATTTTTTTTTTATTCCCTGGGAAAAAAACATATTTCTGTAGAATTCGGAGCTCAATAAACTCTCTTGTAGTTGCATTTTACAACTTTCTAGCTGTCTATACTATGACAATGAAGTGTAGATTTGGCAATTTATCCAACAGAAATGTTGAGAAGAGCACTAAGATGACACCAGGAAAGAAAATAGCCTTGTGACCTGGTCTGGAACAAGGTTTTGATCACACCACTATGTCAACCTCATCTTTTCATGGCTCCTGAGGTGGACAGGAGAATGAGTACTGTCTTCATGTGGATTACTGCAGAAGGAAAGAAACAGGTTATGCATATTTTATGCCTGTGTGACACCTACTTAGTGTGCTTTACCACTTACTGAGCATGGGCTGGACAGTGCATTATATCATTATATACAGGGTTAAACCAGATTACTGCTGAGTACCCACACCCAGTGTTTCACAGCTGCGCTCTCGCTTTGGCACACAATC